AAAAAAAAAAAAAAAAAAAAAAAAAGAAAGAAAGAAAAAATCCTAACATTGCATATGGATTACAGGCTACTTTGTAGAATTTGATTCAGATTAGCTGGGATATTAAGCATAGCATTATATTTGAGATCGTTATTATTAGTCAAATGGTTTTCCCCAAAAATACTTTGAAAAAAGTAATTTGTTGTTTTCACTTTTTTCCCCCAACAGTTGGAAGAAAATAGGTCTGAAACAAGGTCTTACCTACATCTGCCTCTGAACACAGTGACTGCCAGATCTTCAAACATCAAGTTCAGCTTTGTCTGCCAACCTGTCTGACATGTCGGGACCCGTGCCAAGCAGGGCCAGAGTTTACACAGATGTTAACACGCACAGACCTCGAGAATACTGGGATTATGAGTCACATGTGGTGGAATGGGGGTAATTATTTCCATTTACTTCAATGCCCTCACCCACAGTGCTGTATCTTGTAGATTCATGTTAGTAAGCCTTCCCTCCAAAGCACAAGGACAAAACCGAGCTTGCTTTCTGACATAAGTTTATTACACAGTAGTTTGGTGATTTGGCAAACTTAGTTTCTGGGTTTGTAGTCTAGAAGTCATTGTGATTACTTCTGGTTTATATATTTTGTGGATTATGGTACTAACAAAGACTTAGCTCTCAGCTTGCCTTCAAGCTTTAGCTACTATTCTGGAACCTTGGGAAGCAGAGGCAGGTAGAATTCAAAGTTAGGACTTGCCTGGGCTTCTGAGTTAAAAGCTAGCATTGAAGATACTAGAGAGGTTTTTAAGTCCTTGAGAGACTTTAAAATCACCAAGCTTAATTACGTAAGGTCTTTTGGGGGGTCAGAGTTCTGTCCCATGGTGATAGTAAAGGATGAAACAGTTCTCTAGAAATAGAAACTTCTTTTAGATGAGAAGCAGGATTTACCCTTTATTTATCCTTTCCATGATCTTAGTTATGTGCATCATGGAATGCAGCCCATTTATCCTCCAGAGCTGTAGCTTACTTCAACAACCCTGTTTACTCTCAAAGTTACCCAGGAGAGGCTCATTTGAACATTTACATTTCCTGTCTGAACATGGAGAGTTTTGTCACTTTTGTGATAAAAGCATTTTGATAGATTAAGTACAAAATAAAGCAATTTGAAAACTCATAGAGTATAACTCAGCTAAATTTGAGAAGCTGAGACCAGGTGACCTTGAATTGGAGGTCCAGGGCTATGCAGTAATACCTTGGTTTTTTGTTTTTGTTTTTTAAGTTAACTTCCATATATGATATTTTATATCTGATTCCATATGACTTTGTGTAGTCTGTAAGTGGTTAAAACTATCTCCCTAAACTGTCATAGGGTATGGTTTTCATTCTGGTTTGCTGTGATATTTAACAGCAAGCAATTTTCCACATATAAGGAGACACTCTTGGCTTAGAGATGGTGTTAAGAACCATGGTACAAACCGATAAGTGTTATTACTATTGATAATCTTAACAATTCTGTAATGTCATGGACTTTGAACTCAAGATATTACCTTTTTTTACTGCTTCAAAATCAAATGCTCTTCCATAGCTCTGCTGAAATGATACTACAGAGCCCTTTTGAGTATTTACATGGTGCTGTTTGCTTGCTGTGTTAGTTCATATGCCCTTGTGTAAGAGAACTCAATGAGTAGAAAGAGATCTGATAGTATTAACTAACATTGTCCATTGTTCTTAGTTCTTTATGTCTCCTTTCATTCTCCTTTTTAACTGAGAATATGAATGGCTGATAATACTGTATTATAGGAATAAGTAGAATTAGCTCCCCATCCCCTGTTACTTAACCATTAAACCTAGGGCCTTGTGCATTGTAGCAGGTACTCAACTGCTAGGTTATAGCTCTAGTCTTTTTTTTTCTTTTCTTTTTTTCATGACACAGGGACTTGTGTAGCTCAGAATGGCCTCAAATATGCTGTCTAACCAGGATGACATTGAACTTCTAATCTTTCTGCCTCTACTTCTCCGGAACTGAGGTTCAGTGTGCACTAGCATACCTTGGGTTATATGCATCAGGGATTCATGCATGATAGAATGTTAACTTTTTGATTTATTTTGGGGGGGGGGGGTTAAAAATTATTGTACTTGCTTAGTGGTGGTGGCTCACGCCTTTATTCCCAGCACAGGAGAGGCAGAGGCAGATGGATCTCTGTAAATTTGAGGTCAGCCTGGTGCTTGCTTGGTCTACAAAGCCAGTTCCAGGACAGCCAGAGCTATTACACAGAGAAACCCTGTCTCGAAAAAAAAAAATTATTGAAATTATTTAGCTTATTTAGTTGATGGGGAATTTGTATGTGCTACATGTGCCAAAGAACAATTAGGGAGTTTTGACCAGAGATTGAACTCGAGCCTTCTAGCAAGGGCCTTTACCATCTAAGCCAGCTTGCCAGCCCAAATTTATTTGTTTTAAAGTTTACTTAATTGATACGTATAAATGTTTTGTGTGGTACCCTCAGAAATCAGGAGAGGAGATTAGATCCCCTGGATTATAGATGGTCAGGAGCCACCATGTGGGTGCTGGGACTGAAGCTAGGTCCTGTGTAAGAACAAGTGCACTAATTCGTCTCTCCAGATCCTTTTTTATTTTTATTTTTTTGGTATTTTTTAGAAAGATTCTTATGTACTAAGGATGAGCTTGTACTGATCCTCCTGCCTTTACCTCCCAAATGTTGGGATTTGATATTATGTTGATGGTATGTGCCATCAACCCCACTTCATTTTTTCTTTTGAGATAGTTTCTCTAAGTTAAACAGGCTAGCTTGAATTCACTCTGTAGCCCCAGGCAGGCCCTAAATTTGACAAATAGCTAGGAATGGGTATGCACTACCTGGTAGAATTGTGCCTACTGGTTTGTTGTTGTTTGCTTGATTGTTTTTCTGGTAGACTTTTTTTGTAGCCCAGGCTAGCCTCAAACTTGCCATTTCCCTTCCTGAGCCTCTTAAGTCCTGGGATAATATTTGTACACCCCTGTAACCAACCGGGCCTCCTGAAGGAACTATATTTGTTATTGGTTAGAGCAAGGGCCTAACCAACAGGGGACAAGGGAAAGTATTAACATATGCCTTATTCTTTACTGTGCCTATGATATCTGATGTCCTTATTAGTTAACAAAATGTGGATAAATGCAGGACCTTTGTGGTTTATTATATCTGGTGTGGTTGAAAGCTTTATTAAATATCAGATCTTGTCCTGAAGGATAGGTGAGAGATCAAACAAATATCTACATACAAATATATATATTTGGAATCCACTTGTGAACAAATAGGCTTAATAATAAAGGGCTGCTTCTAAGTGTAACTGAACTATGATAGTCTTGGATCATTTGTTGCATTCAATACCAATATCGAACCAAGTAGTATGAAGCAAGAATATATACAGATCAGTTACTGAAGGGGAAGTAGCCTGATGTTGAGAACAAACAGCTATATACTTAAATCCTAATGCAAGCTAACCATGTGTAGTGTGCCATTGGATCATGAATAGTTGGAAATTTGAAAGAATATTTGAAAAAGCTTAATTATTCTTTTTCTTTTTAATGCTTATTGAGACAGAATCTCATGCAGCCCAGACTAGCTTTGAACTATGTAGCTGAGGATGACTTTGAACTTTGATCCTCCTGTCTTCACCTTCTGAATGCTAAGAATATAAGTGTGTACCATGTCTGATTTACATGGTACTGGAGATTGAACCCAGGGCCATGTATATGCTAGTTCAGCACTCTACCAATTGAGCCATAGCCCCAAATTTTTCTGTTTTTTGTTTGATACACACATAGTTTTAACTGGCCCAGATTTTTTTTTAATATAACATTTGAAATATCTCTTATTAACTTCTGCTGGTAATGGAGGTGTCTGTCTTTTTTTTTTTCTTTTTCTCTCAATGATTGTGTGTTGCTTCCCTTCCTTTCTGTAAATAGCTCAGGATAACCTTGAATGCAGATCTTCCCCTGTTCACCTACCAAGTGCTGGAATTACAAGCATGCACTACCATGTCTGGCAAAAACAGAGTTTTGCAAGTTGAAAATTTGATATTTTGAAATCATTGTCACTTTGTTTTCATCTACAGAAATCAAGATGACTACCAGCTTGTTCGAAAATTAGGCAGGGGCAAATACAGTGAAGTGTTTGAAGCCATCAACATCACAAATAATGAAAAAGTTGTTGTTAAAATTCTCAAGGTGAGTACAAGAAGAGAAATAATGTCAGAGTTGAAATGTAGAATCTATGCATATAGATGTCTCTCTCTTTTTGGGGGGTGGGGTTGTCGAGACAGGGTTTCTCTGTAGCTTTGGGGCCTGTCCTGGAACTCTGTGTACTGGACTGGCCTTGAACTCATAGAGATCCGCCTGTCTTTGCCTCCTGAGTGCTGGGATTAAAGGTGTGTACCGCTGCCACCCTCTGGCTCACGTAGAGGGTTTTTTTTGAGACGGGGTTTTTTTCTGTGTAGTCCTGGCTGTCCTGGAGCTAGCTCTTATAGACCAAGCTGGCCTCCGACTCACAGAGATCCATCTGCCTCTGCCTCCTGAGTGCTGGGATTAAAGGCGTGGGCCACCAGCACCTGGCTTACATAGATGTCTTTTTAATATATCTCACTTGAAAGTATATTTTCTAGTAACTTAGCCTCCCTTTTATATCCTCTGAAGTCAACAAAACTCCCAATACTAGCTTGCCAGATTAGATTTAAAGCAAGAGAAAAGATGGGTAGAGTGTGGCTGAAGAGACTCCTCTTTCTCAGGTCTTACCTAATGTCCATTTTCATGCTTTTAGTTCGTTGTTGCTTTTGTTTTCAATAAATAAATCATTACTTCTGCTTTGTAAGAATAGTAATAAGAAGGCAGGCAGGTACACTTAATGTAGTATTACCACATACACTTCAGCCATGTGAGTGTTAGGAACTAACACAAGCCTGGAAACACACACTTCATCAGAAACAGTAACTATCGGGGCATGTAAGCACGGTGGTAGAATGCTTGCCAAAAGTGCATCAGGCCTTGGATTTGATTCCTAATGCTATAAAAAAGGAGAAACAAACAGAACAACAGCTAGGCCCATTACTAAGTAAAGTGTTTGTCATGCAAGTCAGAGGGTCTGCATCAGAGTTCAGATCCCTAGTAACTACCTAAAAAGCCAGACATGGCAGTAATTTCCAGGAATTTATAGACTTGAGTTTGTCTGGAACTTGCTGGCCAGGCAGGCTAATCACTCAGTAAGCTTCAGATTTAATGAAAGAAGACGAGAAGATCCTGTCTCAGAATATAAGGTGGAGGACTAACAAGATGGTACAACAGGTAAATGTGCTTGCTGACAAAACTGACAACCTCAGTTCAGTCTCTGTAACCTACATGGTTCATCTCCCTACCTTGTGCTTTGATTTCCATGCACATGCTGTGGGACTTACTTAAAAGTCAATAAATGTTAATATAACATTGTAGCAAATCAGGAGATGCCCAGTATTGACACACATTTATACATACATGAGTCCATACACACCCTTCCCAACAATAGAAAAGGAGGTAGTTGTTTCTTAGCTGCAGCTGACTGGTGTTCATGTAACAGTGTAAGTCTGGTGTTTCTTGATGATTTCTTTGGCAAAGAGAATTTAGAAAACAATATTTACATAATCTGATATTTTAAATGTTGACTCTAGAAGACTGGAGAGATGACTCAGTGGTTAAGAGCACTGACTGCTCTTCAGAGAACCCGAGTTTGATTCCTAGTCTCCATAGCAGCTCATACCCTGCTTTAACTCCAGTCCTAGAGGATCTGATATGCTCTTCTGGCCTCTGAGGATATCACGCACACATGTGGTACATACACAAGCATGCAGACAAAATACTCATCCATGCACATAAAATTTTAAAAATATATAAATTTTGCTCAAGGTTTTTTGAAATATTTCATGAGTCAGATTTAGCCAGTGGGCTGTCAATATGCAACTTCTATTATTAGTGCAGTGCTACTGTGCTGCATTATATTGGAGGCTCAGTTCCTTGTCACTGAGGTGTCTTGCTACTGAGGAGCAGAGGTTCCCAAACACTTTTCATTTGTAGCATTTTTCTTGTCTTACATCACAGGTTTTTGTTTGTTTGGTTTTGTTTTGTTTTTGAGACAGGGTTTCTTTGTGTAACAGTCCTGACTGTTCTGGAACTCAACTTTGTAGACCAGGTTGTCCTTGAACTCATTGATATCCACTTGCCTCTGCCTCCTAAATACTGGGATTAAAGGCGTGCACTGTCTCACTTAGTGCACAAACACCTACAAACACAAAAAACTATTAGTTCTAGCTATTAGCCTTTTTTTTTTTTTTTAAAGAAATTGCATTCCTTTAAAGTACATCTGGAAGGAAAGCAGGAATATTGGTATGAACTTGAAGCCACTTTGGTTATAGGAAGAAATAAAAAAGACCCCGTCTTTTTTTTAATGCATTAAAAGCTTTATTTTAACATTATTTACTTATTTTGTGAGTGTTTGGAGATTAGAAGACAACTTGCAAGAGTTGATTCTCTCCTTTCATCACATGGACTTGGGAAGAATCTCAGAGAGTCAGCACAGCACAGTGTTGGTGGCAAAGTGCCACTATAGGCCGAGCCTTCTCTCTAAACCACTAAAAGTTTTTTTTTTTTTTTACAGGATCTACTATGTTGCCATTTTAAATGATGGCTCACAAGGTTTTAAAGTGTAACATACTGCTATTAAATAGAGACCAAATGATGATTCTGTGGCTATCTGGTCTTTGGAGTGGGAATTTTTATACCTGCAGAGTGCCCAACAGTGCTGGGCACATTTCCTTTCTTCAGGAAGCTCAGATAGAAGCTGTTCTGTATTAACTGTGAGATGTACTGAGAAGTACTTTTGTATGTATATGCTAATACACTTTTACCATTTCAGCCAGTAAAAAAGAAGAAAATTAAGCGTGAAATAAAGATTTTGGAGAATTTGAGAGGTGGTCCCAACATCATCACACTTGCAGACATTGTAAAAGACCCTGTGGTGAGTATAGTCATTGTTAACTAGGCTTGCCAGGGCTCAGGGGGTATTAGGCCCAAAATACAACTTACTTTGTTCTGTTTTTACTACCCTACCATTAAATATTGCTTAGCTAGGCGATGGTGGTGCACGCCTTTAATCCCAGCACTCGGGAGGCAGAGGCAGGCGGATCTCTGAGTTCGAGACCAGCCTGGTCTACATAGCTAGTTCCAGGACAGGCTCCAAAACCACAGAGAAACCCTGTCTTGAAAAACTTAGAGAAGCTAAATAAGAAGGAGAACCCAAAGAAAATCATATAGGCTTCCTCCTGAATATTAACCTTCATCAGGCGATGAAAGGAGACAGAGACCCACAATGGAGCACCGGACTGAAATCTCAAGGTTCAAATCAGAAGCAGAAGGAGAGAGAGCACAAGCAAGGAACTCAGGATCTCGAGGGGTGCACCCATACACTGAGACAAGGGGGATGTTCTATCGGGAACTCACCAAGGCCAGCTAGCCTGGGTCTGAAAAAGCCTGGGTTAAAACCGGTCTCGCTGAACATAGTGGACAATGAGGACTACTGAGACCTCAAGAACAATGGCAATGGGTTTTTGATCCTACTGTACCTATTGGTTTCGTGGGAGCCTAGGCAGTTTCGTGGATGCTAACCTTTCTAGACCTGGATGGAGGTGGGTGGTCCTTGGACTTCCCACAGGGCAGGGAACCCTGATTGCTCTTTGGGCTGACGAGGGAGGGGGACTTGATTGGGGAGGGGGGGGGAAAGGGGAGGCAGCGGTGGGGAAGAGACAGAAATCTTTAATAAATAAATAAATAAATAAAAAACAAAACAGAAATAGTGCTTTACTCCAGTTTCTCTGTATTTGATCAGGATGCTTATAAAGAATATTTGTTGAATAAAAAATAAATGTTCTTTATTTAAACAAAAAAAAAAACAAAAAAAAAGTTCTAAATCAATTACACATTTAACCAGCTTAGTGTTCCTGCTTTGAAAAAAGAGAATTAAAACATGTGCACATATATGTACCCAGAAAATCTGTTATTCTAAGAGATTGATATCCTTAAGAAACCAAATGTGTTGAAATCCAGTCTGCAAACCTAGGCCTAGGGCCAATGGGCAGTAGGAATATTATTGGGTCCTCTAGAGCCTTGGGAGGTTTCTTCAGAATCCTTCCAAAAATAGTCTAAGTGTGGTAACAATAAGAGTGGACAAGGTTTCTTACTGCTGTAGCAAAGGCTGCTACATTCCCCACACAAAGATCACAAGCTGTAAACTAAAGCTGCATGGACCAATACTAATGCATTTTCCTTTTTCTTCCCTTAGTCACGAACCCCTGCCTTGGTTTTTGAACATGTAAACAACACAGACTTCAAGGTATAAGCAACCATTTCCAACTATACAGAACATCTTTTGGGAACGTTGGTATAAAAAGAGCTTGTTTTTTGCTTGTTTTAAAAAGAATGTTTTGCTGCTAGATTGATTGATCGGTGCTAAAAGTAGTATCTGTTTTCCATGTCTGGATATTTTACACTTGTATCTGTTTAGTGCTCTTTGAATAACTAGTAAGTACATTTATAGCTAGCATATTTATTATTGATTTAATAGTTTCTGCTGGTAATCAGATTAGTGAAGGTGACAATATATGCTGACTTTAGGTTCAAGAGAGAATAAATTGTTTCTGTAATAGTAGGGACTACATGCATATTTCATAATATCTTAGGAATTTGGGGCTCTTATTCTTTTTCCTTATTCTTGTTCTGTTGGATGTTGAACCCAGGTCTTGAGTGTTTAAAGTGCCTGGCAGTTCAACTATCATTGTACTCCCCTAGGGTATGGATCATAAAAGATAATGAGAAAGGGTCATGTAAGATTTTGCTATAGCACAAACATGGACAAATCATATCTTTTATTCAAACAGTTCTCTGTTCTGGTATAACTGAAGAAAGTAGGCACTTTCCTCAAGTACACATTTAATAGAGTTTGACTTGACTTTGTACAAATCCAGTGTCTGAATGTTAGTATACTAAACAGAAGGTTTATTTTGTTTGGAAAAAAGAGAAAAAGGGCTGGAGGGATGGCTCGGTGGTTAAGAGCACCACCTGCTCTTCCAAAGGTCCTGAGTTCAATTCCCAGCAACCACATGGTGGCTCATAACCATCTGTAATGAGATCTGTGCCCTCTTCTGGCCTGCAGGCAGAGTACTGAGAATACTGTGTACATAATAAATAAATAAATAAAAAGAAAAAAAAGAACTATTTTAGATATTTTAGAATCAGAATAATAAACTCAAACTTCCAGAGAATTCCGCTCACCATTTAAAGGGAATTAGTTGTAAAAAATAATCTGCAGCCTTTTTAGAAACTGGAAAAGTTATATTGCAGATGTTTGTACTCTAGGGTAACCCTACACTGGAATAGTTCTGTTCTGTTGGCTCAGCAAATCTGTCTTTACATTTTCATATCCCCCTGGTGATGGTAGTACCAAGTGTGTAGGCATAAGAAGAACATTTCACTACTATAAAGATTGTCTACCAAAATGCCTTTGAAGGAAGTTAGAAGGTAAATGAAGAAAAAACCCTAGGTGGTAAAAGTATATCAGTGCATGTTGTGTCAGTCGTATATATATAGGTAGGTCCAGCATTGCATTATAGCTTCAGTGTATTTGTGTTATTCTTTACCTTTGCATGAAGAGGTGAAGACTTCAAGAGTCTCTTGAAAATGGAGAAATAGCATTTGAAAAAACAAATCTTGGGACCATGGCGAATGAGCCAGTTTTTAGTTGAAGTTACTATTAATTAGGATGAAAAAAGTGTTAGCTTAGCATTGTTTTATAGCTTAATGATTTCATTTGTCTTTAACAGCAATTGTACCAGACGTTAACAGACTATGACATTCGATTTTACATGTATGAAATTCTAAAAGTAAGTAACTGTAGGTACTAAGTATTTTTAAATTGGTCTTTGCTCCGTTGAGAAGTTTATTTGATTATAGAAAAACCAGGGGGTTAACTTTGTAATGTGTGCTAAACTCAGGGAGCTTCAGCAGTATTTGTAAACTGTTTTAGTATTAGACACTTGGGTAAAGTCTCAGTAATGAAATGGGGTGCAAAAGAACTGTAATTAGAACATGTGGGTTTTATGCGACAGGGTGGCCTTTCTTGGTGATCCTCCTGCCCTAGCTTCCCACATTCTAGGACTCGCAGTTATCACCCCACCACACCCAGCTTTACAATGCCCCCCCTTTCTCTTTTGATGCATGCTAAACAGGGATTTTACCAATTAGCTGTTTCCCTAGCCCTAGAATGCCTTAAAGAAAACTGGGAGTGGAAGTGAGTGTGAAAACAACTTTTTTTTTTTTGGTGCATTGGCTGTCGATATACTTTATTTTACTTAGGATTCAACAAATGACAGTAGTGGGATACTCATAATCCCAGTATGAGTGCTGCTGCATGTTCCGGGCCAGCCTGGGCTACAGAGTGAGACTGTCAAAAATAAACAAGATTAAAGAAAGATTCTTGAACTCAACCCTCAGAGTTATTGTTCTAAGGACTGTAAATTTCTTCCTGTAGACTGTTCATTACAGTGGACTTTGATTTCTAAAGTGAGATCACTCAATAGTTCCAAGATCAGCTTTATAAGGAGAGAACTGCTTAGTTGGCTAAAATTTCTTATGAATATAGGTTTTAATACCATGCCAGCTGTTTAAGATTTAAAAGTTTCAAAAGAAAGCTAGGCATGTTTGCACATGCTATTGATCCCAGCACTTGGGAGGCAGAGGCAGGCCGAACTCTGGTTTCGAGGCCAGTCTGTTGTATATAGTGAGTTCTAGGCCAGCCAGAGTTAAATAGTGAAACACTGTTTCCCTTCCCTCCCTCCTCCCCCCAAAATAGCATCAAAAGATTATACCTTCAGAGCCATTTGATCTTCTGTTGGCTCATGTGGAAAGCAGGACTTAAAGCTGTAGACATATTTTGCCCAGCCCCGCAAACTAGAATCACAGGTTGTCCTAGGAAGAACAAGAACTTACGTAGCTAATGGCAGTGGTTGACTAAAGGCCAGGATTGACAAACTCAAAGGTGTGTGTTGCTCTTTTTGCTTTAACTTAAGCTTATGAACTGTATTCAGATTTGAATGTTAACCTAGATCAGGAGTTGACAGATTTCTTTATAGGGCTAAAGTCTGTGTGCTGCTGTTCACCTCTGCTGTTACTGCAAGAAAATAGCCGTGGATGGTGTGTATACACAGTCATAGTTATGTGCCAATAAAACATTCGTATAAACAGGCAGGTGGGGATTCACCCCCATTCTCAGCCACTGAAGAAATTACTGTTCTTCAAACAAAGTGTTGGTAGGCGAATTTTCTTCTGAGGAGAATGTGTTTATAGAAATAATTTGGATAAGAAGTTGTACAGTTGCTGAAGACTTCAGGTCTTTCTGAACAGAAAAGATGCTGAAATGAGTAAAGAGCAGCACATCTCTATAATCCCAGCACTCAGAAGGCTGAGGGGGTGGGTTGACAGAAGTCTAAGTAGCTTGGCTACAACATAGCAAGACCCTGTCTTTCAGAGAGAGAGAGAGACAGAGAAATGGGATGAGACGACATGATTTTGTGACTTGAATATGATATTTGACTCTATGAACCAGGTTTTGAGGATTAGCTGAGAGCAACTGTTCCTGATTCCCTGATTTCTGGATTGTGAGGTTAGAAAAACTGACACGGAAGAAAAAAACAAGTTACTTAAAACACTGACTCATGTAAACAAATTTTTCTTTTTTGCAGGCATTGGATTATTGTCACAGCATGGGGATTATGCACAGAGATGTGAAACCCCATAATGTCATGATTGATCATGAGCACAGAAAGGTAATGTCATAGTTGAACTTCTTTTGTAAATACGGTGGAGAGTTAGCAGTTCATCTTCAATACTTACCCCTATTGCCTTAGTCCTTAGTACCTGTTAGATACTTGATAAAATACTTGTTCATACTCGGGCTGAGTGTGCTGGCACATGCCATTAATCCCAGCACAGAGGCAAGGGGATCTCTTGAGTCCAAGGCCAGGGTGGTCTACATAGCAAGTTTCAGGGCTATGTAGGGCTATATACTAAGACTTTGTCTTAGTATATAGAGACCTTGTCTCAAAAAATAAATATGACCAGGCATTGGTGGTACATGCTATTAATCCCAGAACTTGGGAGGCAGAAACAGGTAGATCTCTGAGTTAGAGGCCAATCTGGTCTACAGAGCAAGTTCCAGGACAGGCAAGGCTACACAGGGAAAACCTGCCCTGAACAAACAAGTAAATAAATAAATGGCCTGCTTTGAACAACTAAATAAATAAATGAGTAAATAAAACACATGCTTATGAAGTTGATAAATTATTCAGAACACGCTGCTTTGGTAGCAGAGATCAAGAAGCCTTTACAAGTGCTGTAATAGCAGCATGCTTTGTAATATTTCAGATTTGTGTGTGTGTGTGTGTGTGTGTGCGCATCAGTACGCCTGGATTTAGAAGATAGAGGTCAATGTCATATGTCTTCCTTGATCACTCTCCATTTTATTATTTCAGACAGGGTTTCTCACTGAACCTCAAACTGGAGGAATTTGCTAATCTCTCTGACCATTGTCCTCAGGAATGCCCCTGTTTTGTCAACCTCTGGGATTACACAGACACATGCTATCACACGTAGTTTATAACATAGGTCATGTGGTTAGAACTCAGGTTTTCTTATTTATACAGCCGACGGGTGCTTTATTAGCTGAACCATCTCCCCCCATTCCTCTGGACCCCCTTTTTTATTTGTGTGTGTTGAAACAGGGTCTCTCTTTGTCGCCCTGGCTGTCCTGGAACTCACTGTGTAGACCAGGCTAGCCTCAAACTCATAGCAATCCACCTGTTTGCTTCTGCCTCCTGAGTGCTGAGATTAAAAGACGTGTCACTATGTATATATATATTTTTTTCTTCTTTCTCCTTTTTTTTTTTTTTTTTTGCTTCCTTCTCTTCCTGCTTTTGTTTGTTTTTGAGACAGTTTCTCTGTGTAACCTTGGCTGTCCTGGGTCTTGCTCTGTAGACCAGGCTGGCTCCAAACTCACAGAGATCTACCTGTTTCTGCCTCCTAAATGCTGGGATGAAAAGTGTGCGTTACCACACCTGGAGTGATAGAATCTTTTTTAAGAATTCATTTTTTTGTGAAGGGAGGAGTGGGGTTGTGTATATGAGTTTGGACATGTGTATACCATGGCATATGTATTGAGCTCAGAGGAAAATTTTGGTGTCATTTTTTTTTTCCTTCTACCATGTTAAGTCCCAGGACTTGAACTGAGGTCATCAACCTTGGTAGAAAGTGCTTTTAACTTGCTGAACTGCAACCCAAAGCAGTATCTTGTTATGTATCAGAGGGTATCTTTGAACTTCTGATCCTCCTGCCTCTATCTTTTGAGTGCTGAGATTACAGTGTGTCTCCGTGCTCAGTTTATGTGACACTGGGAGCTGAACTCAACGTGTCAGTGTATGTGTGTCAACCTTGGGTTTCTTCCTCTGGATTCATACATCTCTGGTTTTTTGTTTTGTTTTGTGTTCTTTTTTGTTGTTGTTGTTTTTTTGAGATGGTGTCTCTTATTGGCACCTGGTACTCACTAATTTGGTAGCTGACTAGCCAGTGAGCTGCATGAGTCTCCCTGCCATTATTTCTGCAGTGCTGTGATTACCAATGTGTGCTACCTTGCCTGGTACTTGTTTGTTTGTGTGCTGTGGTTAAAACTCAGGTTCATATCTCTTTTTTGTTTTGATTTTGTATTTTGAGACAAGATTTCTCTGTGTAACTGCCCTAACTGTCCTGGAAGTAGCTCAGTAGACCAGACTGACCTCACGCTCACAAATATCTACCTGCCTCTCCCTCTGAATACTGTGATTAAAGGCGTGCCACCACTCCTTGGTTCATATCCTTTTATGTCAAGCACTTTGACTGAGCTTTCTCCTCATCCCTGACATTCATCTTTTTACACAATGATGACTGTTGTAGACTTAAAGGAATTTAGGTGACTAGTTAATACATTTTCTGACACATACCTTGTAACAGGTAGTTTGAGGCTGGAGGTACATGAATGAACAAAGCAGACAAAAATGCTTTTCTGAAGAGGTTACGTTTCAGTCAAGTATGGTAACTTGTGTTGCATTATGCAAGCAGTCTCAATACTTGGGAGACTGGGCTAGGAGATTGCTTCGAGTTCAAGGCCAGCTTGGTTCTATATTAGTGAGAACCTGTTTCAGGGAGGTATTGGAAAGGGAAGGAAGGATGGTGGGATCAGTGAGTAGGCTGTGGCAGATCACAGAAAATACTTTAGATTTAACTAAGGAATATGTTGTGATTAGTTAAGGTTTCTATTGCTGTGAAAGAAAACTATGGCCAAAAGCAACTCAGGGAGGAAAAGATTTATTTCAGCTTATAGTCCCACAGCAAAGTCCGTCACTGAGGGAACCTGGAGGGCAGGAGCTGAGGCAGAGACCATAGAGGAATATTGCTTACTGGACTGCTTTCTCAGCCTGCTACTACCAATCCAGGGCCCCTTGCTGTAGAAGGGGATGGCTAAGTAGTACCATCCACAATGAGCTGGGTTCTCACATATCATCAGTCAAGACAGTGCAACACAGGCTTGTCTGCCTGCCTGTCTGCCAGTCTGTTAGGGCATTTTCTCAGTTGAGACTTCTTCTTCCCAGATGACTCTAGCTTGCGTTAAGTTAAAATAAAACTAGCCAGTACAGTATTTTATAGCATGTTTTATAGGGTCCATTGGAAAAGTGACAATTTTGAGAGTACTGGACTGGACCCAGCACTACAATGTTAAGAAAAAGATATATTCCAAGAAGAAAAAGAGTTTCTCTCCCTGAGTAAACTAATAAACTAGGGCAGACACCAGCACATTGTATTTTCTAATTTGATTCGGTGTGACACTGAGTGCCTAGACATTTATCAGATTCCTCAGACTTCCCCTTCTGCCCTTTCAGATGCTGGCTACAAGCCCCTGAATACAAGCTGCATTTTTGAACTACAACTATTACTTTTTTTACCCAACCCTTCTCTGGTTCAATTTACTAGAATATTTCAGAATTTAGGTAAATAGATTTACTGGTTTGTTAAAAATGATATTATTGCACGCCAGGCCATGGTGGCTCATGCCTTTAATCTCAGCACCCGGGAGGCGGAGGCAGGTGGATCTCTGTGAGTTTGAGGCTAGCCTGGTCTACAAGAGCTTGTTCCAGGACAGTCAGAACTGTCACACAGAGAAACCCTGTCTCGAAAAAAAAAAAAATGTGCTGGGCATGCCACTACCACTGCCCGCCTCAAAACACATTTTTATACAGGTTTCTGTGATCTAGTTTAAGAAAGAGAAACTCAGTTTCTGTTGCTTACCTTCAGAAAAAAAGAGAATGGGCAAAATGAGTACATAAGGGGGGGGGGTTTACAGTTTTGCTGTCAGGCCTACACTGTACCAGGAACTCAGGCTAGGAATGTAGCTCAGTGCCTAGGAAGCCCTAGCTAGGGTCAAAGGCTAGCACACAAAGAAAAAGGCAAAAACTTTACCAAAAGTATGTTTATCATTTTAGAAACTTAGAAAATATAGGTATTGTGGAAATTAGTCAGAAGCCACAGATAAAAAACAATGTATGTATTTTAAAATCATAATACCACAATATGGCATGCTGGAATAGCAGCATGACTAGAACTGAGATAGAAAGGAAAGAAGGAAATGAGGTCGGGGGAAGAGAACCTTCAAGTCATGTTTTCCCAGACCTTTTCTCTGAGGGCAGGGAGCGGGGTCTGGGCAGAGTGCAGGCATGTTGAAAGTTCCCTGCGTGTGTGGTGAAATCGCTAAAATGAAAATGCAATGGTATTGCAAAGTGCTGGCAAGGATGTGAACACCTTGTTGCTTTCTCTGGGAAACTTCATTGTTGGGATGAGAGTCGATGAAAGATGCTGTAGTTATTTGTGACTTGTTCTCCCTCCCAACCCCTTTCAGCTAAGGCTAATAGACTGGGGCTTAGCTGAATTTTACCATCCTGGCCAAGAATATAATGTTCGAGTTGCTTCCCGATACTTCAAAGGCCCAGAGCTACTTGTAGATTATCAGGTAAGAAGAGAATGGCAAGTACAGTGTTGTTCCTGTGCTTATTTAGCACAGAATTTACAGAAATGTCAGTTTGTGCTTTGAGTAAACCATTTATTATATCTATAGCTGTCCTTTTTAAGGTAAAATGTAACAAATACATGAGCTGTCTTCTGTAATTTGTTTTGTTTGTGGTAATGTTAAATTATGGTCCTAAATTTGCCAAAACAAAACCAGAAGATAACCAATAAAAGATTATCTTGATCCAGAAGACGTGTTGTAAATAACTTCTAATCCTGCTTTTAGGAGATAGAGGCAAAAGGATTTTGATCAAGATTCGATCGATCCCCAGTACTAAAAAAAAGAAAAAAGAAAAAAACACAAGCCAATAACTGGGTAAAAGAAGTCATAAAAAGACTGAGAAGTGGTAGATGGTTCACTGTGAGCAAAGTGATTTTTAAAATTCTTTTATAATGTCTATTGTATCTGGAAGTGACAAGTCTGGGAATTCATGTGATAACAATGTTTTCTTTAATACAGATGTATGATTATAGTTTGGATATGTGGAGCTTGGGTTGTATGCTGGCAAGTATGATCTTCCGGAAGGAGCCATTTTTCCATGGACATGACAATTATGATCAGGTGATGATGTTATTCCCACTAAGAAATTTATTGACCTAGTTAAAAAATTAGCCAGATCTGCAAACTCGTAAGAAACTTCAGTGGGGTTGGACTACAGGTGAGCTCCAAGCCAGGCTGGGCTACCAAGCTTTAAAAATTAAAAACCCACGCTGGGCGGTGGTGGTGCATGCCTTTAAACCCAGCACTTGAGAGGCAGAGGCAGGCAGATCTCTTGTGAGTTCGAGGCCAACCTGGTCTACAAGAGCTAGTTCCAGGACAGGCTCCAAAGCCACAGAGAAACCTTGTCTCAAAAAAACCACAAAAGAAAAAAAATTAAAAACTCATGCAGATGTGGTACCTGGGAGGCAAAAGGCATGTGGGCATGTGGATCCCAGAGTCCATGTCCTGTGTCATGCCCCACCCCCACTCTCCCACACATGGTAGCTCATACCTTTAATCCCATCACTCAGGAGGAGGAAGAGGCAACAGATCTCTGTGAGTTAAAAGCTAGCTTGGTCTACACAGCAAGTTTCAGGACAGTCAGGGCTACATAGTGTGAATTTGTCTCAAAAACTTTAAAAAAAAAAAAACAATTTTTTAAAAAATATAAAGTACAGGGCTGGAGAGATGGCTCAGTGGTTAAGAGCATTGCCTGCTCTTCCAAAGGTCCTGAGTTCAATTCCCAGCAACCACATGGTGGCTCACAACCATCTGTAAAGAGGTCTGGCGCCCTCTTCTGGCCTTCAGGCATACAGACAGAATATTGTATACATAATAAATAAATAAATAAATAAATAAATAAATAAATATTAAAAAAAATATATAAAGTACAGTTGCCTCATAACCCCCTCCTCCCAGTCTCACCTCCAAGTCCAATTCTTAATGCACAGTGCCTGATAATTGTCTATTTGTTCACTGGAGCCGTACATTTTAATCTTCATACATCAGAGTCTCACCCCTCTCCCAGTCTTGTTAATGTTTGTTGCTTCATTGTAAAGTATGTATGTAAAATGCTCTATAAAATACATGTTCAGGGGCTGGAGAGATGGCTCAGAGGTTAAGAGCATTGCCTGCTCTTCCAAAGGTCCTGAGTTCAATTCCCAGCAACCACATGGTGGCTCACAACCATCTGTAATGAGGTCTGGTGCCCTCTGCTGGCCTGCAGGTATACACACAGACAGAATATTGTATACATAATTAATTAATAAATAAATATAAAATACATGTTCAGGACTAAAGAGACAACTTAGTGGTTTAGAGGGTTTGCTGCGCTTGCAGGTGACCTGGGTGTAGTTTTTAGTACCCACATCAGTTAGCTCTCAGCCAGCTGTAATTACAGTTCTGGGTAATCTGATGTCCTCTTCTGGCCTCCATGAGCACAACACACAGGTGGTACATATACATACATAAAAAGGTTGCTTTTTGCTGTTATTGTTATAGTTTTCAAAAAATGAGGCTGGAGCCAGGCATGGTAGTGCACGCCCTTAATCCCAGCACTTGGGAGGCAGTGTGAGTTTGAGGACAGCCTGGTCTACAAAGAGTTCCAAGACAGCCAGGGCTGTTACACAGAGAAACCTTTTCTCGAAAGAAAAAAAAGATGAGACTAGAGAGATGGGTCAATCAGTGTTAAGTCCACTTTTTGACCTTGCAGAGGACCTGGTTTCAGTTTCCAGTACCTACACAATGGCTAACTGCAGGTCCAAGTGCTCTAACCCTCCAGGTGATTGGCCACTGCGGGCTCTAGGTGTACATGTGGTACATAGACATACATGTAGACAAAACATCTATACACATAAAATAAAAATAGAACTCCTTTGGAAGAGAGGAAAATATTTTCTTCCATGTGTCGGCTTATATTTAATAGTGCTTTGGTCATTTTCTCTATATAAATTGTGTTTATGTGTATGTATCTATATGTCAATAGAAATGTAGGTGGTACTTTGAACTAATTACACTTGCCCTTTAGAATTTAAGGAAATTAAACTAAATTAGTGGTGATAATAGGAAGGCATTAATGTCTAGTTCTCTTTGGGCAGAGTAGACGTTTTGTTTTGTTTTTTGAGCCAGGGTATCTCTGTGTAGCCTTGACTGGCCTGGAAAGCAGATCTGCCTTCCTCTGTTCCCCCACCCCTCAAGTGCTGGAATTAAAAGTGTGTGCCACTAAAGTCTACAAAAAGGAATGCCTTCAGATAGCTCATTGTCTATAGGCAAATCCAGCAATAGAAGCAATTGACTATAGTAATGTAAATGCAGAAGTGTGGCAATTTCCAAACAAGAGTCGGTCGTTTTGAGTTGTGACAAGGAAAAAAGACCCTGGGGGAGGGGGGTGGACTTTCAAGGGGAGAAAAAGGCAAAATAATTGGACTTTTCTAACATTTTCACATTGAGTTGACTTAAGGACTTTATAGGAAATACTCCTGCTACACACCAAAATTTGAACTAAGCATTAAGGGACAACATTTTAGGATATATCAGTACCCTAATTATTTAATTCATTTATCATTGGTTATTGATTTGATCATACAATATGCTTGTGTTGTGAGCTTTTTTTTCTTTAATATTAGTTGGTGAGGATAGCCAAGGTTCTGGGAACAGAAGATTTATATGACTATATTGACAAGTACAACATTGAATTAGATCCACGTTTCAACGATATCTTGGGCAGGTACGTCATACATACACACACAGAATTTGTCTGTGTTTTGACATTTTGGTTCCTTGAAATTGTCTTGTTCTCTTTGCCAAAAGTGTAAGGTGTCTGATCTGGAGCTGCAGGATGCTGTTTGAGCACACATGACAACATCAGATTGAATGGCCATCTGTCCAAATTGACATAGAAAAGTCTTGAGTGTTATGATTGTAGTCAGAGGGGTCCTGTGAAAGGAATTTAAGTAAAGTTTGGGTCTAAGTAGAAGAACCCAGTTGGATCCAACATTGATACCATTTGTGTCTTAAATGTTAGGACTTTCTAAACAAAGAAATAGACTGATTTTCTGACAGCTGCCTCTCAGTGCTGAAGAGACAGAATAGGAATATACTGGTCAATTCATAGGAGGACACAGATATTTATCTGCCAAGTGGCAGAACTGGCGAAGAATGAAGATAGAGTATTGGCTAGCTCAGGCCCTGACTGCTGCACAAGAGCATTAACAATCTCAAGTGTGGTTCTTCAAAGGGGAAAGACCCAGGTTTCTCCTTGATGCAACATTGTTATTTCCAGTTGCCTGTTAGGAGCTACCTTCTATCTGTGGGTGTTATCCCCTTGAGAACAGGAGTGGTAAAAGACTGTCCTTTGGATTTTATCCTTCTTTGCTTTTGTTCTGTACCTTGCATCCCATTTCTCATTTCTAGCTTTGCCTTACAGACACTCTCGTAAGCGATGGGAACGCTTTGTCCACAGTGAAAATCAACACCTTGTTAGCCCAGAGGCCTTGGATTTTCTGGACAAGCTCCTGCGATATGACCACCAGTCACGGCTCACTGCAAGAGAGGCTATGGAGCATCCTTACTTCTGTGAGTCCAGTTGTGTAGCCCTTCACTGCCTAGTGGATTATATGAGGCAGAGGAGAATTTATGTTGTAAACAATGTTCTGAGTGTTATAGATCAGATCTGGAATCTAGTAGCTCCTACCAAAAAGTTACTTCACCCATTCTGAGCCTCATTTTCTTCAGCTGAGGGGTACTGTCAGCAGTTGACATGCAGAATTACTGGGAAGAGAGATAGGGATATAGCCAGTGGTAAAACACTTACTCAGTACATGTAAAACCTTCAGTTTAATCCACAGTGCTACCAAAAAAGGACATGACAATGTTTTAATGAAGTTTTGCTGTCTACCAGACATGTGGTGGTTCATGCTTATAATCTCTATATTTCGGAGACCTAGACAGGAGGTTCACCACAATTTCCAAGTCAGATTGGATTACATAGTAAATTCCAAGACAGGATGGGTTATAAAGTAAGAATCTATACAAAACAAAGCAGAATTGTTGCAAAGATTCTTGTCTATAGACATTTATTTTCCTACCAATTCCCAGTGGCTGCTTTGGCCTGATGGAATATAATAGGTCTTGACCTGTTCCATCTCTGCCAATCATTTGTTGGAGAAAGCCAGTGAAATTTACAAGTGTTAAGTATTGTATAAACCATTAAAGTTAATGGGTATATAGCCAACTATGATAACTAAAACACATAGGCTGGTTGGTATGAATAGTAAAGTTTGCTTATAGCACTAACCTACATAGGCAAATAGCTTTGGCCCATTCAATCTTCTGCTCTGGTGGACCAATTCACTGCTAATAAATTGTTCTCTTGGCCAGGTTAGATTGTATTATCGCCATTAAACATTCATTTAACCATCATTATTTTTAATTTAGCTCTATAATGGATATTTTCTTATCATCCTACTGTTGTGTTCAGACTTGATTTTTTAACCACAGTTCTACAGGCCAGGTGTTTATTATGCACTGTTTATTTGGTTCATGGTGATGGTAGTTGCCACTGTGTGTTCTAAAAGTGATACAGAGTATAAATTAAAGGTAAAGATTGAAGGTAGCTACTCTTATTTCTCCTCAACTGGTTTAGTACATTAAGCAGAACAAAATCTAACTTGATTATCTGTTTTCTAGACACTGTTGTGAAAGACCAGGCTCGAATGAGTTCATCCAGCATGCCAGGGGGCAGTACACCTGTCAGCAGCGCCAATATGATGTCAGGTTGGTTGATTGGTAATTCTCTTTTTAGAAAACTTAGAAAAAAAGTTACTGTTCTTATTTTCAGTTCCCTCTCTGTGCCTTTCTTAGAAAATGGTGGACATGGATAGGTGTGAGAACATTGACGTGAATTGTATGGGAGCAAGAGGCCAGCCTCAAATGTGGTTGCTAGGGAGCCATCCACATTGTTGTTAAGAGTGTGTTTACCTGAGTGTATGCCTGTGCACCACAACACAGGCTTTCTCCCAGGGACACACCAATTTGGTTAGGCTAAGTGGCCAGACAGCCCCAGGGATCTGTCTTTTTTTCCATCCCCAACCCTAGGTTTACAGTGGTACCCCTACATGTAACTTTTTATATGGATGCTGGGGATCATAAATTGATCGGTGGGTATATATAATCTGTGCTACTAAATACTCTGGATATATTTTAGTGACATTATCTTGGAGTAGGATATCAGTGGTGTCTCCCCTTCAAATCTCCAGTATCCCTACAGAAACGTTCTTGCAGAGACTTGAATTACCAACAGATCCTAAAGAACAAAGACATGTGTTTGTTTGTTGTGATTGCTTTTTTTGAAACTGTCTTGTATATAGCTCAAAGTGACTTTTCACTATAGACTCCTTTAAACCTTTTATATTTTGAATCATGTACAAAAATCTCCTATATTCATGGTTTTACTTACTCAGGATCCCAAAATACAATTTTGTCTGGAATCTATCAAGAGAAAACATATTCATATAACTTTTGTTAGTTTTTGTTAAATTATTTTATGACTGTGCCTAGTTTATAATCTAATCTTTATTATACATATATATATATATGTAGAAAAAACCATAGTATACAAATACATAATATTGGGTACGATCCATGGTTTCAGGCACCCTAGGGCCTTGGAACACATCCCCTACAGATAGGGGGCAGTCTTGTATTTGGAGGAGAGAGAGAAAACTGGCTAATTGAGGGCAAGCTGACATATAATTGTAATAAATGGAGAAGAAATCAAATCACAGTCATAGTATAAAGTCAAGAATTTGCCTTTCTCCATTAAGTGACCATTGTAGATTTTTTTTAAGAGTATACCTTTTTTTTTTTTAACTTTATTTTATGTGCATTGGTGTGAAGGTGTCTAGATTCCCTGGAACTGGAATTACAGACAGGTGTGAGCTGCTATGTGGGTGCTGGGAATTGAACCCTGGTCCATCTGGAAGAGCAGTCAGTGCTCTTAACCACTGAGCCATCTCTCCAGCCCCGACCATTGTAGAATGACAGTTGCCTGAAGTGCTGTGCTGTTTAGTATGGTAGAAATAGCCCACGCAGCTATTTAATAAAAACTGAGTTAAATTAGTATTGAGTCTTCAGTCCTTGTAGCCACACTTCAAATGTGTGCTAACCACATGTCTAGCCAGAGGTCACTGAGAGAAGGTGGGACACGGAGCAGAGAGCCTCTAGACACCCTGCTGATGATATCTGTGCATAATTGTCGGTGTTAGCTGCTTGCTAAATTTATTGATTAGGACTTGTTAGTTTTAACTTGGATTTGTACAGATTAAAGTGCAAAAATGTAGCCAAGAGAAGGCATGAAGAAAGAATCTTCATTGTGTTAACTTTTGGGGAAAGTTTTATGGAAAGTTTGCTGGCTGTAATTGGTGTCTCTGGCTTACTGTTGGCTGTTCTTTCAGGGATTTCTTCAGTGCCAACCCCTTCACCCCTTGGACCTCTGGCAGGCTCACCAGTGATTGCTGCTGCCAACTCCCTTGGGATGCCTGTTCCAGCTGCCGCTGGCGCTCAGCAGTAATGATCCCCATCTATCTCCTGATGCCTAAGCAGAGTTGGGGAAGTCCACCCTCTCCTTGATGCAGCTTGCGCCTGGTTGGGAGGGGTGAGAAAACTTCAGAAGCACCGTGTCTGAACCGTTGCTTGTGGATTTAGTAGTTGAGTCATAAAAAATTATAATAGGCTGATTTCTTCCTTTTTTTTTGTTTTGTTTTGTTTTTGTTTTTTAAACTTGGACTTTTCATAACTCAGGGTATTCCCTGAAAAATTACCTGCAGATGGAATATTTCATGGACAACTTTTTTCTCCCTTTCCAAATTCAGTTCATCACCACTAAAGAAAAAGATAAACTGGCTTCAATCCCAGCTACTGTGTTTGGGTGGAGATTTCTTCCCCTTCCCACAATGCTCTCCCCACATTACTACACTCTTGGGGCGCAGATCTCATGCTCTTCCCCAGAGATTAGAAAGTGTAGCTTATCAAGGGAGGTGGGAAGGAAATAGTTAGGGAGGACCCAGTCTATCCTGAACATTGTTCTGCTGCTGGTCACTTCATCACCTTTCTTCAGGACTGCGTCCATGGGTTAGTCCAGCTCTGGTGGAGGTGGATCTGTCTTCGTTACATCAAGATGTTAAAAGTCTACCCGACTTGCAGACAGATCCTAAAGCTTCTTTTCTGATTGAATCATGTCTTGCTGACCTAACCCTAAATCGTTTTGATTTTAGTTGAGTTTAGATCTGTGATGCTTTCTCTCCTGGGCTCCTGCTTCGGTCGCTCCCTTTTCATCTCACATGCTGTGCTTCATAGCTGGTAGGAGAGGGAAGGCAAACTCTTTTTCAGTTTTCTTTGACTTGGCCATTTTGAAGTCAGTTAGTTATGGGGCATAATTTATTGCTTTTTAAAAAAGAAATACTGTCCATGAAGTTTCATGCTAGTACTCTTAAGAGCTAACGGGTGATGTGGCCACACTGGGTTCATTTTAAGCTTTGTACTTTTCTCTCCTCCTACCTTCCCCTTCACATGCCATCTAGTGAGGAGACCTTGCTCTCAGAGTTGTAATTGTATCTGAGAGGCAGGAGCAGAGCCACCATCTCCAGTGAACCAGAAATGGTAGACCTGTAATTGTGGGAAACTATCAGTTCTCTTGTTATGGCCCTGCCACCCCTCGCTGTGTGTATATATATAAAACTTTGTCCTTCATATGTGAAAGATCCAGTGTTGGAATTCTATGGTGTAAATAAACGTTTGGTTTTATTTATCAAGGGTAGATTTAAGTTCCCTGTGTAAAGGTCTCGCTGGGTGGGTGTCTCACATTTAAACCTGAGGGGACTACAGCCCATACCATGGAGGCTTCCCGAGGCCCTCATTTTTATGCACCCCTCGTTCGACCCATGGTACTGGGCAGGGCAGAGGCCTTAAAAAAAGCACCACAAGCCAAAGCGTCTCTGGGGATTAAGGATCCTTTGCCATAAAACTCATTCTGTGTCTCAGCATTGCAGGGATTGGGGATAGGACAAGTCGCCAGTTTGTGTGTTTGTGTGTGTGTAAAGTGGACTTTCCACTGTAATCCAGCCACCTAAGTTTATCAGGTGCTTCACTGAGGAAGCCTAGTTTTTTAAGCACAATAGCAAATCATCAGCTCTGTATTTTCTCCTGTTGTTTCATTACAGTAGCTGCCTATGGGGACTAGGAAAAAAATCTTCCAACATATTTTAAGGCCTAAAATCTTAGTTCCCCATTCTCCTACCTTTATAGACTCATAAGCCTTTCTCACCTGGCATCATAGACAAAACATAATTGTTTGGGGAGTTGAATTTAATTAACTTACCTAACTTTGTAATCCATCTTGGCTTTAGTAACTTTATCAAGGTGGTGGCTTTAGCAAATGTAATGACAAAAGTAGAGGATGCTAATGCCTTTCTTAACCTTTCTCAACCATAGGGAGAGCTAAAAAGAAAACTTTCTGACTGCAGAGTGATTTTTCTTCTTTTTGGCCACTTGCAGTGACTATTTATTGTACTTGATTCTTGTATACCCTAGCGTGCTGTGAGGGTTACCATGTTGGATTTGTGCGGAGCTGAAAGCACCAGGTGTGCTAGAGATGCGGTTTGTGATTATGTTTGCACTGGATCGTGATTTGAACAAGACATTTAGACTGAATTCTTTCTTTTGAGGTGGAGAGGAAGGTTGTAATCAGGACTCCACACCCTACTCACAGCTCAGAAATGTAGATGTGTTTGAGGCTGCTGTGGATAGCTGCAGACGGCTGGGCCTCCTCACTCATCACACCTAGTACAAGAGCTGATGGTGAATGCAGAGGACTCTGGAGTGCCACCTAAGAGCCTTGTAAAATAAATAGAAATGGAAAAGAAGCAAGGAGTCACGCAGAAATGTGGAGGGTTTTAAAAGACCTGAGTGGGTGGTGGGTAGGGAGGGTCAGGGTTTACAGAGTAACAACTTCTGTGTTGTAAATTACCTCATCTGTACACCTTGTATTGGGACACTATTTCTCAGCACTTCCTGTGTCTGCATTGCTTAGATGGTGGGAAATGAATGCCAATATAAAACAACTGTGTTGGCAAAATATTTTTTACTTTGTTTTGAAGTGTGCCCTTCCCCTCTTTTAAGTTTAAAGTCAGAATTCCCTTCTTTGGTTTATTGGTTGTAATTGTATTGTAATTGGTATGACTAAGACATAACTGTGCTGGGAAGAAGTTGTGCCATGAAGGTCTTTAATTTTTTTTTAATAAAAACATTTAAATAAATGAAATGTCCCTGTAGCCTGAGCAATATGCTTCTCCAACCGACACCGTGTGTAATAAAGGATGACTTAGTTTTCGTGTGATTTGAACTTAATACTGGGTTGATGAAGATGTTAGGTGGGAGAAATTGGTATTGGTGGTAAGACTCTAAAGTCTGAGAGTTTTGACATTGAAGAGCTGTGGAAGGGAACACGGTGATTCTATTTCCTTTACGTCTCTGTCAAACACATTGTTACTAGGTATATCACATATCATCTGTTAGATGGGGCCGCTGTTGTTGGCAATGTGGTGAAAATGTATTTATGTCAGGTGTTTGGCACTGACCTAATTCCTCTGGTTAGTCCTTGGTGTTTGCTGTGTCAGCAGTTCACAGTACAGTTTGGAAGAGGCCCTTCCCTCTTCAGGACCTATATACTCTATGTGTTTTAAGGAAGGAGAAACTAAATTTGAATTGTCTGAGGACTTGCTTGCCTCTAATAACTGATTTTTTTTTTAAAGAACTTCTGAGTGGTACTTAATTTTAAAAGGCCTGTGGAAAGAGCTTGTTTTGGGGGGGGGGGTGAGGGGTGCAGATGTTGGTTAAGTGTGTTATGATCCCTGTGGACAGTCAGCCTTGAAGATAGCCTAACTATGGAGGCTGTTTTGCAGTTTTAGAGACCTGGGCTGGTGAGCTGTGGAACAGGTAACTGTCAGCCAGTTGAAAAAAGTCCTCACAGACAGAGCAGACCCCATTTGCTTCTCACTTAACTGTAGTTGTAAGAGCTGGAGGATGCTGGTATCCTGGATTTCTCTTTTGTCTTAGATCCTCACCGCATAGGATTTTATAGCTACAACTTTGATTATTAGATATTGAGGAGCTAGGTTGAGATGCAAGAAACTGTCATGTAATACAATTAGAGTTGATCATTTGAGCAGATCCTGAAAGATGTAGTTTTGTTCTCATTCTCCACAAATCTCACCAGCAGGTTCGAGTGGGTCTTGTATTCACAGGTCCTTGCCTGTCTTCCTGCTGTTTTTCTTCTTAGTGGTATAGTTTTAAGGAATGTCCCTGGTTGTGGGTGATGTGTACCAAAGAGGCTGGCTAACTTCTAGGACCATTTCTCTCCTTTTTTGTTTTTTCAAGACAGGGTTTCTCTGTGTAATAGTCCTGGGTGTCTCCTAAGTTGTGAATAAAGGTGTGCATCATAGCGTCCACCCTAGAACTATTTCTTGGTTGAGAAAGAAGTTAAATTAACCAGAAGTCTTTGGGGTGACCCTTCCTTCCTGAGAAATTGGGTCTGAAAACTTGGATCCTCATGTCCCACCCATGTGGTATTTCCTCTCCTTGCTTCTTTGGCCACTTGAACCTTCTTTGTATTGTTGATATAATTGTCCTTTCTACTTGCAAGTTAGCTCCCTGGTGACCTTATTTGTCTTACTAAAACCCTTTTTCTAAAATGTAGGCTAGTATCTCCCAGGATTGAAGAGGGCTGAATGGAATAAATAACATAGTGCTTCCTAAATGGCTGGTTCCTCACTTCCACTACCATCCTCTGCCCTCCACACATGCAAATGATGGAAATGCCATGACAAGGTGCATCTCAGAACCTTGTCCTTGGGTCTCTAGCTGTAATTATAAGCCGTCGGCCAGATTCAATCAGTAGGACAAGAAAATAGCTATGGCCCTAGTCAGTGAACGAGACGAAGCAATAATTCCAACCAGTGTGGAAGATTTGAACACAGAAATTTGGTTTTGATTTTTTTTTTTTTTTTAAGGCAGGCCCTCTAGTTCCCAAAGCCTAGCACTGCACTTTGCTGTTCTTCCCACTCTTTCTTTTTACATTCTGTCACTCTGGCCAGAGTAGGGTTCTTGTTGACCACCTTGAAGTGGCCCTGCCCTGGACCCTCCAGGCTCTTCCAGAATGGCTAGTCCATTCCTTAGAGGAGTGGCTACAGGGATTGAGGATTTCTCAGTCAACAGCATTTGTGCCTTACTCACTTTGACAAAGAAGGGGAGAAGGGAACAATAGTAGCTTCCTTAAGCCACTCTGTGATTCTCAGCCATATATAAAATACTTGTACCAGAAACCTGGAAAGTTGGGTGTTAAACTTCTTGTTGAAAAGGCCTAACCCTCTTACAGTGACTCATGTAGTCAGTCCAGGCTGGCCTGGAACTCAATAGGTAGCTGAGGTGACCTTGAACTCATGATCTTGCTTCTACCTCCCAGGTGCTTTAGGCAGACTTTTCTGTCCCACCCATCAGTTCCCAATAACTGACATGGAGACTTTATATTAATTATAAATTTTTAGCCAATAACTCAGGCTTGTTATTAGCTAACCCATAAATTTTAAATTAATGCATTTATATTAATCTACGTTCTGCCACATGGTGGCATCTTGAACCTCTTGTTTCCTCTCGATGTTTAGCTGGCAGCTCTTGACTCTGCCCTTCTTTTTCCCAGTGTCCTTAATCTGGTTCACCCACCTAATTTTATCCTCTCCAGCTTTTGATCAGTCAGCTTCTTTATTAAGCCAATCACAGCAACATACATTCACACAGTGGTGGTATTCATCTCCTCCTCCTTCACATCCCATTCTGTATATTCATATCCATTCCTTTGCTTGCTCCCCAGCGGAGGTTCATCCTTCTCTCCTACTTTGACTATCTTCCCAAAGTGTATATATTTTTAACCATTTATTTTTATTTTATTTTGAGATAAGACCTCACACTATAGCCTAGGTTGGCCTGGAACTTAATATGTAGCTTAGACCTTGAACTTGCCTTTAATCTTTTATCAACAAATGTGTTGATGTTCATGAGCCTTGGCCTATGTGAAATAATTTGAAGCAAGAAGTAGATACAATCTAATGTGTAGAAATATCAAATAGGAAAATGAGAATCAAGGTCATTTATATGGAATAATTCCAACTGGTCTGTTTTTTAATTTCCTAGATTGGAGATTTTAGCTTTGTATTGAAACCTAGGATGTGTAAGGCTCTGGACTCTCTAGCACTGCAATAAAATAATAAATTGATTAATTATGTATGGGAATTAAGGATTTCATGTCAACATGGTAAAAAGAACTAATTTGTATAGGTTATTACTACTCCAGATGCATATAAACACCTCAGTTTACTTGAAAATAGAAGGCCAGATTAAATAAAGGGAAATTCCCACTTCTCAAAGGAAGTTACGATTTACACTGAGGAACAAATGCATACTGAAAACTAGCTAGAAATGAGCCTCAGAGGATAGGGGCTAGTGTTGGCAGAGAGCGCGCGCGCCTTTCGAGGTAGAAGCTGAAACCAGTCCCGTGATACTTGTCGAGGCTACCTCTCGGGGAACATCTGGAAGAAAACAAAATCTTAGCTATAATTACCTCTGGAAAATGAGGTTACAGTAGCATGGGAAACCTTACTAGGAAAAAGCCCTGAACTGTGAGAATCAGAACTATTCTTGGCTTCTGTTTCCTGAGTGTACAGCTGTGTTTTAAAGGAGTCCCTGAGCCCCTTCTGCTTTGTTAAAATAAACTCTTTTTGCTTTTGTTCCTGCTTTATACTCTTGCATCCACATAGACTTCTAGGGCAATTGGTCTAGACTAAGTTCAGCCAAGCAGCTGTCCTTCAGGGTTAGCCTCTGCTGGATTGGGCATCTCCATTTGGGTCAGATTCACATTTGTCCCAGGTGGTTCCTTCTGAGTCACATGCTGAACTAGCTGCCCGGGACATGTTATCCATGGTGAACTGCAGAAGCACAGAGGCCAGATGAAGTCACACAGGTATGTGCCACCTTGTTGGCCTCAAGTCGTCAAGCCCATCATCAGTGAGACAAGGACATACATACACCTCATGTTGAGAGAACTGTAGGAAGTAATATGGCAAATGATATGATACATAGTCTTATAAGATAGTGGAAGAACTGAGACTACTAATGCAATCAATCATGCTATCTCAGCAGAAACTGAAGCTGTCTAACCGCTGATGACTCAGGAATGAGCATTGTGGGTAATTTTAATCATTTGAAGTCATACATAAGTTCTATCTATAGTCATCCTTTTGTATTCATGAAGTACTGGTTCTAGAAGCAAAGCCCCCCCCCAGCCCCCCACCCCGTATCTGACTAACCTTGAGTTCCTTCTGTAAAATGGCCTTGTTAATGTCATACATTTCCCACACACTTGTAAGCCACCTCTGTATAGTATCTAAATACAATGTAATGCTATGTGGATGGTTCCTGTAAGGGGAAAATGACAAGTTGTCCTTGTTCAATCCGGAACTAATCATTTTCTTTTAGGGGATTTTCAGTTCTCATTTGAGTGGGTATAGAACTCATACTTACAGAGGACTATTATATATGTATTTATCAGAAATCCTTGTACTTTTTGTTTGTTTAAAAAAAAAGGTTTGTTCTTAATTATGTGTATGGATATGTGCTTATGAATGTGGATGCTTACAGAGGCATTGTGTCCTCTTGAGCTGGCGCTGCAGGGGGTTGTGAGCCACCCAACATGGGTACTAGAAATTGAACTCAGGTCCTCTAGAAGAGCAGTATGAGAGCTCTTTGACTATTGAACCATCTCCAGCCTTTTGTTTGTGTGTTTGTTTCTTGACAGGGTTTTAGCCCTTGCAGCAATCCTGCATCAGCCTCCTGAGTGCAAGGATTACAAGTGTGAGCCTCCACACCTGACATAATTCTTGTTTTCCAACAATTGAAATCAGTTCCAAGTTTGAGGCTTCCTGGCCAGAACAACATGAAGTCTTGCTACACAGAGAGCTTCTGCAGTCTAGGAGTATTATGTTTTGGGGGACGCGGTTACATGTGCTTTCACTTGGTAATTATTAGTTAAACAGTACAATATGATTGGCAAAATTGTAAGGGTTCAGATGTTAAAAGGTTTTAAAAGTAAAATGGGAAAAGCAAAATAAATTCAAAATTGAACCAACGCTAGGAGCATGGGGGACGTTAACATAAATCCATCATCCGGTTAGCTGTGAGGAGAACTTGCAGCCGTCATGACTTGTCTGACCAAAATTAGAATGTCACACTAAAGAATTAGTGTGGGAAGTGTGGGTGTGGTAGCGTCCATAACAGGATGAACAGTTTAGAAGCACTCAACACTTTATGAGAAGTTATGGCTAAAATTGAAAAATCAACAATTAGTTCTTTATGCATGTTGTTTTGATATTTTTATTGTTAACATAGTAGAACTATGTACTTGTAACACTGTATTGCTCTGGTTAAGACATAACCAAATTTTAATAAATGGATATTTATTTTGAATACATTCTTTTCCACCATTCCAACTGCCAAATTTCTTTGCAGGCCACCATCCTGGTGCCTCAGTTATCACAACTAGCACTTTTTTATGCCATCCTGTTTCCAGATTTGTCCTAAACTTTCCAGTCAGAGAACTCATTCAGAAACAGGTCTTTTGATTCTTGCTTCAAAGCTTCTCAATTGTTTCCCAATTGCACACAGTTTCTGCTGTCTCCCAAAATACTCTTCCTTATAGACAGTGCCCCACTTGAAGGGTGGGAGGGATGACCAACTTTCTTTTCTGGGACTTGGGTAACTGTGACTGAGAGATAGGCACAGGGGAAGTCTTATGGAGAGCAGAGGTCAAAGGTAAATAGAGACAAGCATGATGTAGAAGCAGAGATAGCTGTTGGTTGACAGCTAATGTGAATACAGGTGAAAGATGGGCCCTGGACCTGTTAATGTTTTCACTACAACCACACAAAAACTAGAATGTGTCTTTAAAAATCTGTTAGAGGGGATCTGTGAGAGAGGCAGTCACTGTCCTTTGTCCCCTACCACACAAAAGGCCAAAATAGAAAGGTAAGATACCAAGTACTCAACTGGAAGAAAACAAAACCACCCTTCATAGGGACAGAAATATGTACTGGGTCTACAGCCCCAGCTACAGAAGGGCAGGAGCTCTAAGGAAGCCACACCGCAAGTCCCAGGAGCACAGTGCGTGAAGAAGACTGAGTGGGCCTCAGGACAGTGCTCTAGACCCTCTCAGTGCTGAGCAAATGAACATTGAATGATATATACTAATAGCAATACCGAGAAGGACAAGGATACAAAGCCTTCAAGGAAGATGCCAGTATAAGACAGAAGCACAGTAGGAGAAAAATCACTGCACTCCAAGTCAGCAATGTCAGATTGTGAAGCCTGTGCATGGGATTTCACCTCAGCAGCAATTAACTGAACCAACCCAACTCAACTCCTGCACGAAAGGCCTAGCAGAAGGAAAGGCATGCCTAACTCCATACCTGAAAGACCTTTTATTTGAATTTCTACTGTTCCAAACAAGATAACAACTGCACTAACTTTGTAGACAGTAGACGTGTGGTGCACTTCCAAGAAGTAGTCTTGCACATTTAGACTCTGATGTTAGTGCTGAAGCTAGTAAATATCGAATTAATTTGATAGAGGACTTATCAAAATCAGCACGCAAGATCAAAGGTGTAGAGACAAGGTGGAGGTGTAATTAAGTGGTTGTAATCCCCTCTCCTCCATTCATAACTTCCAGGACACTTGGAGACAGGTAAGATGACTCAGCAGGTAAAGGCACACCTGTTGCCAAAATTGAGTCCCATCCCCAGGGCTCAAGGTGGAAAGAGAACCAGCTCCACTGTCTGATATACCTACACTCAAATAGAATCAGATTCTGAGTTTTAAAAAGAAAATAGGGGTGTTGTAAAGTGCTTGTTGTAAAAACTAATCGTCAGTTTGCTCCCCTGGATCCGCATGAAGGGAGGAGGAACCAGCTTTACAAATTATCATCTGACCTCCATATGCATGTACCCACACACTTTATACTTAGTAACAGGCCAGATGTGGTGGTGACCCCTTTAATTCCAGAACTTGGAAGGCAGAGGCAGGAGATAGAGGGATACAGAATGAGACCCTGTCTCATTAAATACATGCTAGGGGCTGAAAATATGGCTCAGTGCTTATGAGCCCTTGCTGCTCCTGCAGAGGACCAGGTTGGTTCCCAGCACCAGTGTGGCACCTCACAACCTCCAGTTCCATGGCGTCACAGACCCTCTTTCTGGGCTGTGAGGGCTTCTGTACACATGTGGTGCACAAAAGCATGCAGACAAATACACATAGTGTAAAAAACACTTAAAAGAATTAGAAAACATCAAAGAAAATAAGTTTAGGGCTGGAGAGATGGCTCAGAGGTTAAGAGCATTGCCTGCTCTTCCAAAGGTCCTGAGTTCAATTCCCGACAACCACAAGGTAGCTCACAACCATCTGTAATGATGTCTGGTGCCCTCTTCTGGCCTGCAGATATACACGCAGACAGAATATTGTATACATAATAATTTTTTTTTAAAATAAGTTTATACATAGATACCACTAGCATATCACATTTAAATTGCTGGGATACATTTCCTGGTTTAGTACATGATGGCAAGTGCTTTTGCCTACTGAACTGCTCTCCTTCCTGAATCTTAAGAATCCTCAGCAAGACGGTGGTGGTGCAGACCTTTAATCCCAGCACCCAGGAGGCAGAGGCAGATGGATCTCTGAGTTCGAGGCCAGCCTGGTCTACAAGAGCTAGTTCCAAAGCCACAGAGAACCTTGTCTCGAAAAATGGAAAAAAAAAAAAAAAAAAGACTCCTCTCCAGGAGTACCACTTTAAAGGAAATAGCTATGTATCAGTCAGTCACTGTGAGCAGCTACTCCTTTCTTTGCACTTAACTGTCTTTCCAGAACTTTGTCATGAGAGCCAGGCATGTCCTTGTTTTACAATGGTGGGGAGATCACTTTAACCTCAGAACAAAGTTTGGCCCTGCAGTTATGGTGTTGGTGGGGAGGAATCACTGACAGATTACCACTGAAGGGAGGAATCCAGAACCAGCTGGCTCACTGACCAGCACAGTCATAAATACTATGACCCAAATTGCTTGAGCAGGTTATTCCCCCGTGGGATGACCTCATTCTCCGAATTTCCAAGTGGGATGACTTAATTCTCTATAAGCACAAAGCATCTTTTATCCTCAGTGATGACTTAGAGGAGTTGGACTGAACTTTCAGTGTTAGTATTTATTTGCAGTAGGAAGAATCAAATCTAGGGCCATGGTCTGCTTTAGCACTGAGCTACATCTCCAGCCCTTGGGTAGTAATATCTTTGCATTATGGAACCTACATAGGTGTAATACTTTAGATTCTTAGAAGTTTTGTATGATTTTAGGGCTGGAGATGTAGCTCAGTGCAGTGTTTGCCTGACATGCATGAAGTCCTGAGTTTTAAAAGTCTTGGCATCCCTTAATTAGGCATGGTAGCCCAGTTAACAAGCATTGTAATTTCAGCACTCAGGAGGATCAGAAGTTCAAAGTTATCTTCAGTTAGCAGCTAGTTCAAAGCCAGCATGGCTCCAAATATAAGAAAAGCAGGTGGAGGAATGGCTCAGTGGGCAAAAGTGCTTACCAGCAAGTCTAATAGCCTGAGTTGTATTTGATTCCCAGAGCTCATGCGATGGAAGGAGCAAACCCACTCCCAAAAGTTATCCTCTGGCCTCCAAACACTATTGGCAATCCCGTGCTCACACACATACACACTAAATAAATACATGTTAAAAAACATTTTGAGTATGAATATTTTGCTTTCATGTATACCTGCATACCACATGCATACCTGGAGCCCAGAAGAGAGCATCAGATCCTCTGGAACTGGAGTTAGACGGTATGAGCCACATGTAGATTCTGGGAATTTAATCCTCTGCAAAAGCAACAAGTAAGTACTCTAAAACTGCTGAGATACTTCTCCCTCTCCCAAAACATTATTTATTTGAGAGACCTTTTGGCCCTAGTTGACCTAGAACTCTCTTTTTAAGTATCCTGATTTTCTAACAAAGCCTTTCAAACCTTTTTTGTTGTTGTTGCTTGTTTTTTTTTGTAGTTTGTCAGAACACTATATTCAACTCAGTATGGACCAGGTGATGGTGGCGCACGCCTTTAATCCAGAGGAAGAGGCAAGCAGATCTCTGAGTTCGAGGCCAGCCTGGTCTACAGAGAGAGTTCCAGGACAGGCTCCAAAGCTACACAGAGAAACCCTGTCTCAAAGACCAAATACAAAACAAATTCAGTCTGGGTCTCACATGCTAGACAACTGCTTTGCCACTGAACCACAGCTTAAAAAAAAAGAATTACTAAATTTGCAAATGATGTTTCAAATGTTCACATAATTTTAATTAATTGAGTTTGTTAATGGGATCAGGGAAGTGATTATTATAACCTGTGAGATTAGGAATAACATTTAAATTTTTTTCAGTCAGTTGAAATTGGGGAACAATTAAAATTGAAAATTTCTATGTGTATTAAATATTAATTTTAAAAACCAAAATGACTTCAGCGTAATCTCTTTTGCTCATGAAAATTCCCCAGAAGATGCTCCTTTGTTCCTGTGTGTGTGTGAGTGTGTGTTAGCATGAAGCCGGAGGACAACCTCAGGAATATCCATCCAACTCCTTTGGCCTGGAGTTCACCAATTAGACTAGACTGGCTGGCTAGGAATCCTCCTTGAAGACCTTAAAAAGATCTTGAAGGCCCGGTGGTATTGGCTGTGCACACATGCCTTTAGGAGGCAAAGGCAGATGAATCTCTGAGTTAGAGGCCAGCCTGGTCTACAGAGTGAGTTCCAGGTCAGTCAGGGCTAGAAACTGTCTTGGGGGTGGGGGGGATGGGGCGGAGAAGGGAATAGAAGAGAAAGAAAGAAAAAAGAACGAAAAAGAAAAAGAGAAAGGACTTATAGAGTAAAGGTGGGCTAGAGAGGATATGGAACCAGGAGGGTCCAATACTTTAGAAGAAAAAAAAAATACTGAGACTAGAGAAGCTCATCAAATAACTAAACTCATGGGAGCATCTTCACTGGAGATCTGAGAGATGAGGCAGTGTCTGGGCGGGGATGACCCTCAGTCACTGAGCTTTGGTTTGAGTGCTTGTTCAGTTAGAAACACCGGAGGTGAGGAGCTCAAAGGCCTGATCCTACCCATAGTATTTTGACCAAAGGATAACTGGTTCGCACAACTCAGCGAGGGAGCAGTGCCCCATAACCATCTCCATGAATGGAGGCCGTCTCCCGGCGTTGTGCAGCCACAGCCGCAGAAGCTGCACAAGGCGACCCTGCTAAGTTGGGGAGCCAGGTATGACCGGAGGTAGAGCCCTTGGCAAACGATAGTCTGCGCATAACATTGGAGCCTGGCAGTGTCCAGCCTCGTGAGTTCAGTAATTTTCACAACTGTTTCACAGATAATAAAAGTAGAAGCTATAATGAAATATGGTCTAGTAAACGAACGCACAACCAAATCCTCTGAGCCCACCCTCCGCACCCGTGTTTTCCACTGTCAAGCCGCATGCGCGCGCCTCAGCCCCTCCCACACCAGCACGCGGGTCACGTGGGGGCGTGGTTGTCTGCGCGCCTGCGCGTCGCAGGCCGACGGAGACCAGCCTGCCCCGGCTTAACTGTGCTTTCGTCCGCGGTGGGAGCGGCGCCTCAGGCTCGGCCGCCAGCCGGGGCTCGGGCTGGGGCCCGGGCCCCCGGGGATGGCCCACCGGCCCTCACAGGGCGACGGCTCCGCGGGCCGCTGGAAGCGCGGCGCGGGGAAGGCAGGTACGGAAGGCGGCGGGCTGGGGCGACGAGCGAGGGCCGCGCAGCGGCCGGGGCCTGAGGGGGGCGGCGTCGGGTGAGGAGGAACCGGGCCTCGCCCCGGCCGCCGCCCGCCACGTCCGCAGAGCGGGCTGCCCGTGCTAGACGGCTGCCGGCTGCCTGAGCTCCGGCCTCCGCTTGTGACCCTGAAATTCCTCTCTGCACGCGCGGGCACACACACACAAACTCATGCAAAGTCGCCTCTGTCCAGTTCCAGAAACTCCCGTCGGTGAGCTCTCCACCTCACACTCCCTGTTCAGCTACTTTCTGGCCTTTCCTTGGGCCACCTATGCTAGTGTTCTGTTGTGCACAAAGCAGTGCTGTTTCCTATAATCTTTTTTCCGGCTAAAGCATTTCTGTGAAATCTTGGGTTTTGTTGTGCGCGTGTTCTGGAATACATTTCCCATATGGTAGCTGCTTGGTGAGAAGTCCCGTACCAGGTGAGCTAATCCAAAAGCGCCGTTCCCCTTCCCGTCCCCTGACAGGTGGTGCGCATGTTAGAACCGACCCTGTTATCCCTCCCACATGTTTGGAGATGCTTCTAGATTCCACGTCTTGGTTCTCCGTGCTCATTTCTGTTATTCCTCTTTTCTCATCCGATAAGCTGGACAGCCTGTGAGCCACTTTCCCGGGCTCTTTGGTATATGTAACACTCTTTGCTTGTGTCTGTGTGACATCTGTCTTTATGGCATAGCCAGTGCCCCTGTGACATGGGTCGTGTGACCTGTTGCAGTGCAGCTATATCTTGGTTGCAAAACTTCAGGCCCTCTATCTAGCTTGTCTGGGTGGAAAGGGAACGCAGAGGATATTTCTTAGTTAAGATGATTGGTTTTAAATATATTGACGACCAAATTACTAATGCTAAAAACACTCGGTTGTAGAGCTCATAGCCAAATCGGTATGCACTGTTTTTCCCCATTCAGTAAAGTATATTCTTTCTCTGAAAAGGGCAGGAAGTGCCGGAAGGACCCCGAGCTACATGGCCATGGCTCTTTTACAGTTACCAAGTGTACAGATCTTGATAATTTACCCTGGAACTTTCCTGTTTCCATCTATCTTTATGTTAGTACTTAATGAATTCCTTCCAGTTTGGTTACATTTTTTAGAAATGAATTAGTACTATCAAAGAAAAGGGCACTTGGGTTTATTTTCTTTTAAGAGGAATTTTACCACGAATACAAGATTTTTGTGGTCCACTGTCTTTGTCTTATACAAACATGGTGTTCAAACATATATTTTTTTTTGTTGGAGTGGGTTTTTCACGACAGGGTTTTATTGTTTAACCCTGGCTGTCCTGGAACTCACTCTGTAGACCAGGCTGGCCTCCAACTCAGAGACCTTCCTGCCTCTGCCCTCTGAGTGCTGGGACTACCTCCCAGGCTGCTCGGCCATTTATTTATTTATTTATTTATTTAATATATATTTATTATGTATATAGTGTTCTGCCTGCATGTATGACTGACTACACGCCAGAAGAGGGCACCAGATCTCATTACAGATGGCTGTGAGCCACCATGTGGCTGCTGGGAATTGAACTCAGAACCTCTGGAAGAGCAGTCAGTGCTTTTACCCTCCGAGCCATCTCTTCAGCCCCCTTCATTTATTTCTAATGTTTCTTTTGAGATCAGGTCTCATGAAGCCGAGGCTGGCCTTGAACTTACTTCGTAGCAGAGGATAGCCTTGTCTGTCTCTTCTCCCTCTACTCCGCGGTGTTAGGTACAGGCATGCACTGCCACACTTGTTATTTTCTTGTCTGTGTTCTTTCAGTATATGGGCTGTGGAACCAGGCACAGTGCTAACAGTTTTGTTTGCTTGGATTTGGGAAACAGGGTCTCAGTATGTAGCCTTGACTGGCCTGGAGCTCGCTACGTCGACCAGACTGGCCTCAAGCAAGCTTTACAGTGTAGTAAATAGAAGTTAAGTTGGATTTTAAAAGCTAACATTTCACCAAAAACACAAAACCCAACCCAGAATAATATTCCTATAATATGTTAGCATTGCCTAGGCATAATAGTCCACACCTTTAGTCTCAGTACTCAGGAGGCAGAAGTAGGTGGATCTCTGTTTGAGGCCAACCTGATCTATATAGATAGTTCTTGGTCAGCCATAGCTACACAGTGAGACCCTATCTCAAACATAGAGTAGGTAGGGGCTAGGGTTATGGCTCAGTAGGTGATTACTTGCCTACAGTATGTGAAGCCCATGGTTCATTCTCTAGTACCAGAAAGGGAGAAGAAAAAGATCTGCTTTGGTGACCCTTATTAAAATAAGCATATTAGGGCTAGGGGTTTAGCACAGTACCAGCACACTTTCATCTGCCATTTAAAGGCCTTAGGACAATCGTTTTATTTCATCATGGTGATGATAGCCAAGTCCTCTTCCGTAAAGGAATTTGGAAGCTCTCAGTTTAGGAGTTTATGATGCACCACTCCTCCAAGTGAAGCGTAAAGAAATTGTTAGTTCAATTTACCTTAAAATAAAACAGATAGTAGACATGAATTTTAATCTTTCTCTGATTAAAGAAGGGACAACTGTGACTTTTCACTTTGTAGGAATAAATAGGATGTTTGTGAACTAGTTGTTCAGTGGTGACCCTGATGCTCTATGATATAGGCTGGCTGTTGACCTCGCTGTGCAGTTTGCACACCAGCGGCTCACTTGAGTTCTCTGAGTTACAATGAAATGCTACACAGTGGGCTCAGGAAAGTGTGTGTAGGGGTGGCATATGTAGGAATAACTTCCTCATCCGCCCCTCAGCTTTAAGCTTGTGACTACTGAATACATGTGGCAGTCAGAAAACAACTTCCATGAGTTCTCCTGCCGCCTTATGAGATGTGGGGATAGAACTTGGGTCATCAGGCTTGTATGCAAATACCTTTTCCCACTGAGCTATCTCACTGGCCCCGCCAGCCTTACCTACTGGAAGGTGAAGGTTAAGGATGGCAGTATCCAAGTGATCAGATAGCACTCCAAGTCCACATTTGAGTACTCGCCTCAGGAAAGCACCCAGAGTTGTCAGGAAAGCCAGAAAATCTACAGAAGTGTTAAGAATTCTGCAGTAAGCCACACAGTAGTGTGGGGAAAAGTAATGCTCTTACTATGTGGCAGTTTTGTTCCAGAAGAGCAGAAACTAAGTAAGCTACATAATTTATTCTACTACACATGTGCTTTTTGAGTTCTATGTAGTCAAAATCAAGAGGTTTAGCCAGGTTCAGTGGGCATAACTTTAATCCCAGCACTCAGGAGGCAGAGGCAGGCAGAACTTTGAGTTCCAGGCCAGCAAGGACTAGTTTGAGACCCTGTCTCAAAAATAACAACAGCCAGGCATGGTGTTGCATGCCTTTGATCTCGAGTCGGTGTTCAGTGCCAGCCTGGTCTATAGAGCAAGTTCC